TAAATAGCATTCAAAACTCTATCGATTTATCTGGGTTTCCATTCAAAGTCCCACGGTAAGTAGACTACCCTTCCTTGGTAAGCCTCTCCTTTCCAGGTTATACTGATCTGATCTGTTTTGCCTATCTTATATTTGATATTTACCCATATACCATACCTCCCGATTGAGTGCTGGAAATTTACTTCTAATAGTATTAATGGATCATGCCACTAACCACGTCTGGATTCGGGAAAAATCCGTGTGGCGGTCTTCCCAAGCGCACTCGCCGTAGTATGCTCACTTGTTCAGGTGTCAGTCGAGTAGTATTCTGAAATGATCAAGTATGTTGAAATGTAGACAATTTGAAAAGTCTGTTGTGCTCAATTTGACGAGAAGATCCCCATCATTCCAATTATGCTCAAACTTAGTAAACCAAGAGTTGATTCATCAGATCTCTAAGAATTGGTACTCACTCGTGGTCGTTGCTGTTTTGTACGTTTAAAAGCGCTTCTCAGTCCTTCTAGAGGATGCCTTGAATCCTTTCGCTCGAGTTTTTTCATCAGCTTCTGCTTTTCTGGTCCTTTTGACTGCTTTTTTTGTTGTTCATCTGTAAAAACGTACTACAAATAATAATCGTGTACAAATGATAACAGGATCACCGTTGAGTGTGTTTACCGATGTGAAATGGGCTCGGTACACCCGAAATCCAGTTGTCGATGTTCTGAGGGATGAGCTTGTAAAGAACCTCCATTCCAAGGGCTGCTGGTGAATACTTTTTGAACTCAAAGGGGAACATGTCGCCACAATGGAAGCTATCTGAATGTAATTGCCTAGAAAGTTGGCTTCTCTATCAAAAGTCATGGTGATATACCAAAGGAAAACCGTCTGAGGATTAGAAGTGCATTTATTGAAATAACGGAAGTCGCTATAAGAAAGGAAGCTCACCCTCAACTACGTAAGTCACAACGCTGGGGTCATCTGACGAGGTTTTGCTCAATGGAAGTAACGGGTCAGCTCCGCCGTTGGCGATCACAACGTTGGTGCCCTAAAAATTTTAAGTTCGGTTCAAGGGCCTTCTCTTACTTTGTCAGAACTATTTGAACACATTTCGAGTTATGTGAGGTCAGAAAGGAGATGAGTTTGCTTACTGTACGCAGAATCAGAAGGATCACCAAGGGGTATGTCTTAAAATGAGTTGGTCTATGTAGAATGAGCCTCTTTGAATTTTTTTGGTACCATCTCATAGAAATTGATGAGCAGAGCTCAAGATATATGCAATTCCTCTTGAGATCTAATTTACTACCAACTCGTGACAATAAACGAGGAACAACCTCTGCGAAAACTGAGGATTCACTCTGATGGTACTTAGTAACAAATTTCCTACCCCGTTTCCCCTTCCCCGACCGATATCCCACTATAATTAGATGATAAGGGTACTCCTTTGAGATATGAGTCTCTCCTCGAATCGATTTTATTCTTTTTTTATGTCGGTAATGTGGAGAAGACTAATCCTATTCTAAACAGTCAGCTCACCTTGTATCCATCAGCACCGCCATAAAGTTCTGTTGTTTTCTCGACGGCTTTCTCAATATATTCGGTATCGAACTCCTTACCAAACACTTGACATAGGTCAGCATAGAAGCTATAATTTAGTCATTTTTTACTAATCGCCTCTATCATCATTTCATTCTTATAGCATAGGCTACAATATTCCATGCATTAGGAAAATTTTGGAGAGAGGGTCCATGATCTGCCTGTCCTTTGAAGAAGCGGATCAGAAAAAGCGTGAAGAGTTGTGGCTCATTTCCAGCTCTAGCAACTTTCGTCATCTTCTGGCACCCTCAAGCTAAGGCGGCAATGTACTAAAACATTTTATGTGGTCATGGAAAACTCTACAGAGAAGAACACACTTTCTTCAAAATATCGTCGGCAACCTCAACGTCAAAAGTGCAAGCTCGCATGGAGACGTCTCCAGTCGTACGCTGTTATACCAGTTTGTAGTAGCCCGAGGCAATTACCAACGAACGCCCCGGCTTGAGAAACTGTGCAGGGAACAATAAATGAAATGGAAAAGTCATCTATGATTCCCTTCCCGATCTTTCTACGTGCCCACTGCGCTGTGCCTTCTTCGTCTGATTTTCCGACCTTTCCTGACCTTTGTTCAATTTTTTGCGGTGCCTAAGCGTTTCTGGAACCGAAAATAAAGTTTTGCTCTTGGCGCTGCACATCTGTGCATATCCCGCCTCCTGTGGGCGGAGTCGCGCCGCGCTGCGGCCACATCCCTTAATCTTGCCTCGGAGTCTACCCACCCTGGCTTTGATGCAACCTCTCCCGGTCTTCCTCAGGTTATTGGATTTCGTGACAAACGGAGAGCCGCGAGCATTTTGTGTTTAACGGAAATACGATACCAACCACCTGACTGAGCCAGGCTAAAAGTCGTTTCTTAAATATTTTCGAATGCTGATTAGTACGGGCGATTATGGTTAATCAGTAGCATCTTCTAACTTACTCTATAGAGATGAGCGAACCGAAGATGCTGTTAACGGCTCCGTCAGTTGTTGGGAATGTGCCAAGCTCTGTACACCTTTGCCACAGCGACGCACGATCGACAGCTGAAATCATCGAATTGCTCTAAACTTACTATTATAATATAAAAGTGGATTCCCATCAGGTTGAACTGGGACAGCATATAAGGTGCTACGCTGGACATCACTGTCATCAAAGTCGACGAGTTACGAGGATAGATGCTTTGCGCTGTCCACATCTGTTGCCATCATGCCACCTAGAGCATGACCAAAGAAGTCCGCAGGGATAGGGATTGAGTGAGGTGAGGGATCTCCGCAAAAGTCAACTATTTTCAGTAATCTCGATTTGGTGGATTTCGGTCCGTCTTTCCCAGCATGCACCATAAAGGCATCCACGTTGCTAGAGATTTCTCAAACTTATCCTTCATTCACAGTTTTCCTACTTCTTCCTTGTGTTTTTGAGATGAAATCGCTACAAACGGATTGGGCCGGCGTTAAGTTGAAAACTTCAACTGCAAATATTCTAGTTTATCTGAACCAAAACAGGCGGTATGGGAAAACATGGCTTTCTCGCGATTGAGCAAAACCCCATCGCTACACCTTTTCCTTTCCGAAGCATTTACTCCGTCCAATCGGGTGATTCGTAGTATTCATTACTCGTAACCGTTTCCTTCTACCCAGAGCTCCTCCTGCCACTACTTACTTTGGCGATGTCCTTCTTGATCACTGTCCGCCAACTCTTGGAGCTCATGATCATTTCTCCTGGGCCTTCAAACCCCATAGCTTTTCTTATCTTTCATCTTGCTGCTTTCTCATAGCGAGCCCATACCATTGCAGGCGCTGCTCTCCCACCTTAAGCTGGACTGGGGTTGTTTCACGGGGAAGTGGGTGATGTGCTTCACAATCAGTCTCTGATGAGATTTCTTGCAAAACATGCAGAACATCGGCTTCCCTACAATTTTATAGAAGAATTTGAAGGGTCTCGAAGAGTAATGTTGACTACGCAAGTAGAAAGCGAAGGGCAAGGATAACCGGAGATGCTTTTTGGCATCTCATCATTTTGGGTGTGGTGCAGTTAGAGCGAAATTGTCGCGTCGCGGCGAGAGGGACGCCTCGCGCGAAGGAGTGTGGTAGAATGCAGCAGCAGGTAAGAAATACAGGAACAATAGGACTGATAGTAGGATTATGCCAAAAGTAATAAGCGCGTAGCGATTGAGCTGTATGAAGAACGCCAGAGTTGTCTTGACGAGGCAAATGGTCCGCGATAGCCGCGTGCGGCGGATCGGCTACGCAAAACCGTTCCCGCTGCCCGTCTCCCCATCATTCTAAATGAGTCTGTGGCATTATTTAACCCATAGATACAAGGACTAATTTCTGACGTCGCCCGCTTCTTTTCTCACAGAATGAAAGATGATTTGACGGTTAAGAATCATTGGAAACTTACAGGCCCAACCCTCTTCATCGAAATCTTTCTTGAGAAGATATCTCATCAGCTGGTCATATTCAGCTGGCGTATTTTTGGGCATATCCGTCATGTACTTACTCTGTAGAACTGAAAAGGAGAAAGCAGTAGAAAAACATCCATTTCCCTCTATTGCTGAAAATCCCATGTGAAAAAATTATTAGCTCTCAGTTTTTCGAAGAGGGGTATTATTTCTGTTAAAACTTACCTCTAATACCATTGATAATTTTTAGAGCCTCGATCTGAGGCGAAGACTCATCATTCATTAAATTACACACAGCTTTTGTATTGTACATGCTGGTACCGTTTTGCTAAATATCTGCTTTAAGCAATACCTTTTTTGCTTTAATTTTGTCAACTCACCATAAATGGACCTCCTCTGAACTGCGTGGCTAATATAAAGTTGTTTAGCTGGATTGAGGTGAGCAGTTGTATATTTCGATGTTCAGCAACCCAATTGTGAGGTGTAGTACTGTAAATATCCTGTGACCGAGGATTTGCTTGAAGATCTGCCTTATCTGGTACATTATCGTGAGTAATGTGTGGATCACTGACCATTAACCATCTATTCGGTGCTACATTCTGCCTACGATTTGACTTGGACTTTCGTGTGTTGTTCTGTTTCTGTTTTCTATTTATGTTTTTTTTTTTNTAAATAAATAAATAAATAAATAAATAAATAAATAAATAAATAAATAAATAAATAGGGATTGAGAGACCATGATTAATTCGGAGTGCGCCACGCATTGAACTTCCGTGCAAGAGAATGAGCTTATGTGATGACCTACGAGATTTCGACTTAGGGGGTAGTGGACGGAGTGAATATTTTCAGACACAATGCACTTCGTGATTTCCAGCATCTTAAAAGCACTGTTCACGATAAAAATGTATTCTGAGATTTCCCTAGTATGAATTCGAGGCTTCTCCTCATACCAATGCTGTATAAGGACGAAACACGTCCTGAATAGGGCACAATAAGGGACTAGAGATTGTATCATGTGAATGCCACACGCCTAGTGGACGAATTTCAACGGCTTCGTGGAGGCTGCGCCATTCATAAGGGAACCAAAGTAGGAATTTCAAATGATTTGTCATGAACCATAGCGACAGTGAAGGGCAGTTCTGGACAGTTATGCACTGATGTTGTCAGCTCTTTGCACGATGAAAGCAGGTTAAATCTTGTCCCAAAAACCCCTTACATGGCATTCCCGTCGCGATGATCTCGTACAACATCCACTTCCACTACTTTCAAAAATCTCGAAGTAGGCGAATTTTCTCGCTCTCTTCGCCACCGGTGAACTCATCTACATCAACACTTCCGCTTTCTAACCCAAGAAGGGTACCTCAAAATTATCGTGGACTGTGCCTCCAATTAAAAAGGGAAAATTAAACCACATCCAGTATAAACTTACGTGGTGGCTCATCTCACCTCTTATTTCCAGACGAACCACTTTGTTTTTTGCCAACCCCAAGTCTCATGTACCAACTTTCGAGACTTATATCAAATCAAAGAAATAACTAAAAAGGAATGACCCGGTTTCTGCTGTCTTTCGTGTGTCCGTGAGTTCGAGAATGTTGTGTGCTGCAGCGTAATGACCGCTTCCACGTGGTGTTCTTCCCCAATCACATTTGTTTTGTCAATCGCAGGAAGGTTTGCAGTTACGATCCCGAACAAATGATAAGTCATTCAATTCGAATATGAACACTGGACACTGAAAACAGTGGAAAACGGTCCAGCGCCAATAAGTCGCCACTTCCACACCCAAACTGAAAGCGTTTAGGTTTTTTTTTNTTTTTTTTTCTGATTGCGTTCCTTAGCTCATCACGTGCTCTGATAAGGGAGGGCAGAAAATTCGTTCAATGGTCTAAATAACAGTCATATTATTCATTCTGGAACTCTGAATTATTGGAACTCTGAATTATTACACCTCTTGAACACTTGACGAAGCTGTTTATTCTTTTCGAAGCAGAACCCCTCTTGAAGTTTTTCTGGAAGCCCCCTCTGTTTTTCATTTGTTCTTATTGTCTCATAGTCTGATTCGACCGGGCTTTTGTGGAATGCATAAGGGCAAAGAATGAAGATAAGACCTAGGTGTACTTTCAAGGACAGGCTGAATGAGGTGCATGACAGCGCATTCGGCTATGACAACGTGAGATGGTACCAAACAATTGGATGTCACCGGCCTATCTGACTCGCAGAAATCCTCAGCAGGGAAAGTGGCGAACCTGCGCAACCGAAACTCAAGAATGATACACATGCCAGCATCTGATGTGCTAATTACTGGCACTGAAGATGTGATGCTGAATTCCTCAATGCAGAAGTGTTTTCAGAAAACAACCGAATTTCTAGCAAATCCGCATCTCATCAAAGCCTTCTGCCAACAACCGGATAGATGCTCATCATTCGAGCATCACGGCTTGCTACCTTCTAGCAATTCACCCTCATGAGGTCATCCTACTGAGAAGTTCTGCGAGGGGTGTCTTCTGAATCAATGGGACCTTGAAAGCGTGCTGAGTTGTTGCCTGGATAGGTAGAGATATATGCAGGAAGCATGGTCAAAGCAGAAAATGAATGGGAAAAATGTTCTTAGTGAGCATTGTATTCAGATTCCATTCTCGGTCTTGTTCCCCAAGTTGGCGGGAGGTTGAATGAATAGTATGAAGAATCTGTGTGCATTACACCTAGTTGATATTGTATGTTAAAGGCACAGCTCACGATAATTTTGAGGTACCCCTTTTATTCAAAAAGGAGAAGTATAGATTGGTAATAGTTCATCGGTAGTGAAGAAAGCGAGAGGATTCGCCGATTACGAGAGAAGTATGGTTCCTCAAAAGTAGAGAAAATCGAGATTGGACAAGAATGCCAAGACGGAAATAACATGGAAGGGTATTCGGACGAGATTTCAGTTGTTGCAGTTGTGCAAAGAGCTGACTACATCAAGCCAGAGCTGTGCAGAACTGTCTTTCACTGTCGCTATGAGTCAGGACAAGTTGTTTGAACTTCTTACATGGGTTCCCTTGTGGTCGGTGTAGCCTCTACAATGCCAGTGCAACTCGTCCGAGGATACAACAGGCCATTCTTTGAGCCTTTATAACTCCCTAACTAGGCCGTCCTACCAACCTAATAGGACCAGATGTGGTATACGCGGGGGCCTCGAATTCATCCTCTGAGGGAATCTCAGAATCCCTTTTCATCGTGAACTGTGCCTCTAAGCACTACGTTTTAAACCCAGGATTTCTTCTCACGATAAATGAATGACTACAAAAAAAATCAAAAAAAAAAAATTCGTGAATATTGTGAGTCGTTTCTTGCTTCATCAAAATTGCTTTCATCATTCTTCGGTATAGCCAAGACCGCTCAACAGATAGAATCTCAAGTCTCGGATTTCTATATGGATTCATATAACAAGCAAACAATTAATTCATCAAATATTCCTCGAGTTGGGAGATTATATTGGTCGGTGGTTTCACTACGAAACGAAGAAACCTAATCGGATGCTCTTTTAAACCTCGACCCACTTCAACATTCCTGAAATCTGTCTCCGGCCTTGTTCGTTGCCAAGCATTTCGGTAAACTGTTCGAATGCAATTCCGATATTCTCGGCGCATCTCGGGTCAAATGCGCGGTAGACGTCCTCCGTAAATTGTGTTGCTTCTGGATAAGGAAAAAATTGGTTTTAGTCGGACCACCTTTTAAACTCAAATGGAGCTAATTTCGATTGCTATAGTTCCTGTGAAAAACTTGAAGACTATGAAATACGTACCCCAGAAGTCAAATTTAGGTTGCGTCAGCGGTGAACTGCCCACTGCTCCAGCGATTAAAACCGGATGACTTTGTCGAGCCCATAGGGCTAGGGAGCCTGAACCAGTGCCATTCAGAGAAGGTTAAAAACCATTGTGTATTTAATTTATTTTGATTTTGAGATCGATCTAAGATTTGATCCATGGGTCATTTTATTTCACGGAGTTGCAGCTATGAGTTGTAGTGTCAGCATAAACTTCACCTTAAGAAGAAAATGAAGGTTGAAGGAATGGTAGAAATCCTGCTTGCATTCCTTTCTCCTTTCTCGCTCTTTAACTTCAGCAATTTTTTGAACTTTCTTCCCTATTTTCGTTAATTATATCAATATCTAACCAGCATACGATCCGCCGAACACAATCCATTTCGCGTTCTTGAGTCCAAGCTTGTCATTCATTGCTTTGATGAAAGTGGCGATATCCTCGATTGCCTGTTGACTGGTCAAATATTTGAGGTTCTTCACGGACAGATCGCTGAAACTGGTTTTATTGAGGGAAATGAAGTAAGCAATTTATTATTATCTTTGGCTTTTATATGCGAACACGCTACGTCTTTCGCCCATGTCGAAGTTAGAAGTTCCACCGACGTTCAAGTTGGTTCAATGGTTATCCACATCCCCTCAAAAGCTGACATCAACTCTGGAAGAGTTATAGACGTGGTCGTGTGGGGCGGACCCGACTTCACGTTTAACAAAAATACTATAATGATTTATGATTTGGTCCCTGATCTGCCTGTAACTTCACGGGTTACTTTAAGAAGCCCTTTAAGTACGTGAAAATAGTTGTAACCAACGCGGTTGGACGACTCTTTCCATAAAAACGGTGCTCGAGAGCGAACATCAGAGCTCCTCTCTCCTTTGCCCACTGCACGAATGGAAGTCTCTCATTAGTCACCTGGAATGTATTAGATCGGTCAATTTTAATCTCATCGCAAGTTATGTAAGGAATCACAATCAGCAGAAGAACTCTTGGGACTCTGCTTGCTTTCCTCCTAGTTTAAAGGCGCAGTTGACGATATTTTTGAGGTACCCCTTTTTATTCAAAAAGCGGAAGTATAGGTTGGGAGTAGTTCATCGGCAGTAAAGAAAGCGAGAGAGTTTGCCAAATTCGGGAAAAACTAGGCTCTTCAAGAGTAGGGAAAATAGGAGTTGAACGAGATTACCATGACAAAAATAACAAGGATGGGGTCTTCGGACAAGATTTTAGGTGATGCAACTGCGCAAAGAGCTGTCTTCATCAAGCCAGAACGGTACAGAACGGTCTTTCACTGCCGCTACGGGTCATGACAAGTTGTTCTTCCTACATGGGTTCCTTTGTGATCGGTGCAGCCTATACAATGCCGGCGTAACTCGTCCGAGGATACACAAGGGCCAATCTATGAGCACTTCATAACTCCCTGACTAGGCCGTTTTCCGACCTGTTAGCGCCAGATATGGTATAAAGAGGACGTCAAACTCATCCTATGGAGAAATCCAGAAACCATTTTTATCGTGGACTGTGTTTTCAAGTTAGACAGCACACGTAATTTTTGTGTGGTGTGTACCCGAAGAGCTCACGGATTTTTTTTAGGGAAAATCGCAGAAAGTCTAAGCGTTCCCTGACTGTTGCCCCTGAAGGTGCTCAGGATTCTGTTCTACCAGTAGTTGAAGTATTTGAGTTTATAAAGTTGCTCGAAGATATTACACAGCCTGTAGGGTGAATGGTCTCCTAACTGGGATCTATGCATGCAATTCGTGCCACTTCAGCTCCTTTTTGTCGAAATAGCATTTGTTCTTTCATCCCAGTTCATAAAATACTCACTCATCCCAGTTCATAAAATACTCACCCAATCAATTTCTAGAACTCCCATTCCTCCCAGCATCAAAAAGACGACGTTTCCGCCTTTGGGAAAATATCGCTTGTTGTAGAAATAGCGCTAGAATATAAGAACTTTGAATTACAAGGGCTCGAATCTTCCATAAACTCTGAAACTAGAATGGAAGGCTCACTTCAGAGTGATTCATCTTACCTGAGACCATGTGGCCTTTTCTTTTTCATCGAAATGATCAAGTTTCTGCTTGAAATATGTCTGTCTGCCAGCGAATCCACCTTGACTCAGAATCTTCAAAGGAACCTTTTTATGATTTGCATTTTACACAGCTAATCTATAGACGGCAATGTCCAATTAGTAGATAAGGGGCTATGAAGGCGCTTCATACAAGTGATTCTCATAGCCCTCGGCTTGATGGGGGGCATTCCATCAAATTCATAATTTGAATCAGGGAAGCAAAAATAGCAGGTGACTCAACGTCCATAGGAGCGTAGTGACTAACATCGTCCACACCGATAAAGGAATTTACCACATTTACATAATCAAGACATAATCAAGGTAACGGATGTTTCGTCAACTGACCGTTTCAGTGTGATAGTTTCTTTCCTTGGGAAGCATGGGATGTCCCAGATGAAGCATTGGCAACCCCGAACTCACCAGCCATAACTGCAATGTGTTAAACTAGTGAAGATGGATAGTCTTTCTATTCATACTCAGTAAAAGGATTTGCTTTGAGACAACACATTTTAAGAATTCGAGGAATCATAGCAAAAAGAAGGCTTCCATCAAAACACAATTTTCATGCTGAAGGGCTTCCGTTGTGCAATCGTTAATCTACGTTGATAATCCAGTTTCCCCACACAATCAGCAAGAGCAACCCCTATGCCGCTAAGAACTTTCCGGCTAAGGACTCCTTTTTTCAAAAGATTCCAGAAAAAAAAAGTAATTTGCGGAATTAAGCGAGCGAAAATGTTGGTATGACTAATGGATCGCTGCTTCTTTTGCTGAGAGCTTCCAAAAGAAAAGTGGGGTTGCTCAGCAAAAAACACTCTCCCGAGTTTGTTCGAACTCTCTTTTTAGCATCCCTAAGATAAGGAATAGAGGCCATTCGGCTACGCTACTATTTAGCGGCTAAGTGTAATAGAATCACTTTAGCTGTCAGGATCTTCCAGCTTAGCCTGCGAGCGTTGCGTCTATTCGTGATTCGGGAAACTTTTAGCTAAATGTATTAGCAAACGAAAGTTACCTGCAGTAAGCTCACGACCAGGAATAAAAGGCTAGTCATTGCTATGAAGGGCCCGATAAAGCGAGTCCCGTTCTGGTACTACAGAGAAGTGCTAATGACACAAATCCGTAAGGACGACAATCTATCACCCTTTTTTGCGACTGATAACGCTTGGAGGACATATAAACAATATCTTTTTATCAATAGGCCTTAGGACTGCTTAAATGTAGAAAAAAAAACGATGCACTTCCGCCCACATTAGAACTTAAATGTACTTTGACGCTATTCAACTGATCTTTAGTCATGGCTTCATAGGTTGTCAGCCTAGGAATTGATGGGTGCGCCGTAGAAGTGCTTAGCATATGCGCAGTGCATAGCGTGATTTTCGCAAAACTGGGCGGTACCATTTCGGGGTCCTTCCTGCGGCGAAAGTCGGAAAAATTCAAAAAAAATTAGAATATTATGTTTGGCACAATAATGAGTCATATGCCGGAGAAAAAGACAAGTGTGGATTAACCTGCGTGAATGATCCGCTTTTCTCAGCTTGATTGTGAAGGACTTTTCGAGTGCTGGGTGGATCTGACTGACTGACTTGTAATGACTAATGACTTGATAATTTGAAAGCAGACATCTTACGGATCCTTTGTAGTGTGCGACTATTCTGGAATCTAGTTCAGAGGATAAGTTGGTAGATGGGTAAATATGGGGGAGTTATGGTGGGAGAGAAGAGGTGGAGGAGTATTCCACAGTGTTTCATAGAAAATTTGTAAGTTTGCATGGGCGAGAACATTTTCTGCGATCCTTCTTTGAATTCAATGATTTGAACAGCCGTTAGCAAGTTTTGAACGCGAATGAATGGTGTGTGGGTTTATCAGGAAAAGAGTTATGTAAGGGAGGGTAAACGGCTATGCAATCTATAATCGTTCTGTGCTTTTGCGATGCTTTGTCGATAAGGAATATGGAGCACGGGGTAGCGTGGGCAACGTGGGGTGCCTCCCTTCACTTCTCCGGGGTTTTCATCGTCACATGAAAACAATTAAATCGTACTTCTTTTGTACTCTGTGAGCGGATTGTTACCAACACAGATGCGTTCTTATAGTAATAACCGGGCACTTACATTATGATAAAAGTGAACCCACTAAGTTTCGGCTTATGATGGGGCAAATATTATACCAGTATCCTTCGCCATAAAGGGTACATAATCGGGATGGAAAGCGGGAACCTGACATCTTTAATGAACGATACTTCTGCCTACAACTTCTCTGTCTTCTAGGTCTCGAAGGTCTTGACGGCTATTTTTTTGTTATAGGTGCCGTTATTAAGCTCCAAAACCCCTGTTTCCCTAATAATCCTCGTATTTTTTGATATACATAATAATACCTCTATCTATAAGGCATAAATGTTTACCCATATCCACAACAGGCGCATCCTTTCCTGCACAGCACCTACGAAGAGGATAACCTTATCTACTTATTTATACGCTCTCATATCCTTAAAAAGAAAAAATGCGCCGACTCGTTCACTTTCATGCTTTCACCCTTTGATATCTGACCAATCTCTTCCGGATGCTCTTTCTTATCTAACTAAAATTTCCTCTTCTTTTGAAGAGCTAAACTATTAAAGGCACCGTTTACGATGAATTTAGGGTGCCCTTTTTTGACGGGAATTCATAGAACTACTTTAGAATAAAGCGATAACAACGAAAAAAGCGCAAAAAACGATGAACAAAAAGAAATAGAAAGGGTCAAAAAATAGCTGGAAAAGGGGGTTGGACGAGTTTCACATTGGAAAAACGGCGGTTAAGGGAGTGTTGGGGCGAGTGCAGGAAGGCGACGCAATGTCTGCAATAGCAGACAACACACCCAAGCAGACAACTTCGCCCAATGCGAAAGTGATGAACGACAATTAGATTTTGTAGTCAGCCTAGCGAGGGGCGGAGGCCTCCCGTCCCCCACTGTTCCTGCCCTTATTGTGCCCTATCCAGACCGTTTTCCGACCTCATTCCTGCACGAATGGTATCAGAGGGGGCGTCGAATTCAAACCATGTGCAAATCTCCGAAACCATTTTTTCGTGAACAGTGCCTTTAAGCAGCTTTGCAATAGTAGATCAGGCCCTCTAGTATGAGATCCTCGTTGCCGTGATCAGCGTCAGAGGGCGGGGTTGTCTTCCTGGACCCTTCACCACCTGTTTTCCCACTTTAATATGAACTAAATTTTCAAGGCTCCAGCATTAGTTTAATTACACCGAATGCTAGGCCCTTGGAGATACCCACTTGTATTCCTAATTACGTCGTGAGGAAGATGTGATGGCAGTGAAAAAGGAACAACTTCATAAATTCGTCTCAGAAAGGTCCGAAGAATAGGCGAATATTATATGCGGGTGAACAAGTTACACGAAGGGGCGGTGGGCGGAGCGTTTTCTAAGTGGGCGGTGCTTTGTGCATTACTCTCGGTGGTCTGCAATAGGTATTTCCGTTTGCAACTACTGGAGAGGGAGGTTTTTAAGCGGAGTTTCGTTGTAAGTAGCAGATTCTGTTCAATGATGAGTGTTTGGGCAAAATTTGACGTGTTGTTGGAATATCACTGCAGGGTTGCAACTACAGCTCAGATCGGACAATCCCTGTCGTCATTGCTACAGGTTTGAGTCCTACTGTAATCTATATCGTATAATTTATGTATTATCTTATTTATTTATCCCTTTTATTTATAAATATTTATCCAACGCAAGGCAATGAATCGAACAAGACGGTTAAGTTCCTTTCTAGTATAGAAGAGCCCTCTGGAAGAATACCATTGCTGTTATGGAAGAAATCAGCACGTTGGTTGCCGTGGACCCTGTAAAACAATGTATTTTTTCCCTGCTAGGGTATTCATATGCGCCGTTACCAGTATTTAGTGTTATTTTATTTTTTCGAGCGCTTTCCATACCCCAACGGATGAAACTTCGACATCTGTAATGATATGATATTGATCTTACCGGCAGCTTTCTTTTTCGGATCGTTTTCGGCGGAAACCGGAGGTTCTTTTATCTGATTGCTCGGTACGACTGGAGCGATTGGAGCGATTGGAGCAAATGGAGAGCTGGTTTCAACTTTGTTTGACGGTTCACGTTTCTCAGTGTCCCCACCCTTTGAGTTGCGATTCCCCTCTATCCATTTCTTGAGAATTCCTCTGATTTTTTCACGAGTGTCCTTAAGATCTTGTTCGTCTTTATCTCGGGCAGGATACATTTCTGCGCAATGTGCGGTTCCTGAAAATGTAATTAATTCAGGTATAAGAAGTATTTTCTCTTTTTACGAAGACCTCAACATTTGTAAAGGCACAACTCCAGATTCCCTTTCTGTTTGTAAAGTTCTTGATTGATAAGATGTTGAAAAAGGAATGGCGCGACCAGATGTCGAATCAAAGGCTAACGATCATTCAATAACAAACCCCAGGTATCATTGAGGAAGAGTAGAAAGGTTCTGATATAAACCACAAAAATGAGAAAGCACAAATGCCCAACGAACTCAGTATAGGTGAGTACAGTTTAGGTATGTGTGCAGGAGCAAATTTGCCTTTCGCGCTGGGCGCTGCTATGTGAGCAGGAACACTTTGCCATTCGCGACTAAATCAATCATCAGGAAAGGGTGGTCGTAGGAACATCTTGTTTTGAAAAGGACTCTGGCGCTTTTGCAGTAGTTTTAGTACTAGTACTTAGGGTTCCAGTAATTAGTAGATACTCCCATTTAACAGCGTATTCCGCTCTCGGTCCATTTCTCTCTTGAATGTAGAGCAAACCGCTTAAGCTTGGTAAAAGTTGGGCAAGTGCAAGATAGAGGTCCTACCTGTTTTGGGTAGTTTTAGGAGGTGATGTCAAGTTCTACAATGTGCTCATATTCTCAGCAATTTTGGTCAACAATCGACCACTTTTCATTTTGAAGGGCAGGGTCAACGTTGCGCGCTATTCAGATTTAGATTGGAAGGAGAAAGCTTATCGATGCTGCTATCAACCAGAAACGCTTTGTTTGTTGGTGATCTTAAGAGGGCACTGGATCCTCTTAGATAATGAACTTTGGGGTCAGCTTGTCACTTTCCATTTCTCCCCTCGCCCTTCCCATGTGCAAATAGGGTCCAATTTCCGTTATAATTGACTCGGGTTACCGATCTTTCTATTGTATATGTCTGTAGATAGAAACGATGGTTTCGCATTGTTCAATTTTGAATTATTATAAACCAGAAAAGTTTCAGTCTAATTAACAGTTCCTGATGATGAAAGGAATCAGACTTCTTCTCAGACCCATTACATGGGACACGATCTCGCCTGATCCACCCACCTTTAATCATGAAGCAGTTGTCATCTGGTTCGCATGTTACGTTGCCAAGTGCATTCCACGGGTCGAGAGATCCATGGGTCATTACCACCATTGGATCTTTCTAAAGGGCAGTCTCCATCTTTCCTTTTCCTGCTGATATTCCAACAACCGTGACTTACTCCATAGTTGAATCGGCCTCCGTACCGTTTGTTCGCACTGAGAGTGGCTCGTCGATTGTTTTTCGCCGAGTACGATGTCTTCAGTCCGAATACATCCGAGCACAGCTGTGTGTAGAAGCTGAAAAACTTTGCTCGATACATGAAAAGGTTACAGAAGTTTTCGTCATAGCAGAGTGTCCTATCAGCGATATTGGTTGATATATGTGTACCCTCGTTCTCGTAATCGCTGTGCGTGTGAACTTGTGCTGAGCTTTCGAATAGTGTTGGTACCTTGCAGTACGGTATGAAGGCTCCAGGGACAATTTACAAGTAATGGAGGTGTCTACCTTCTCAAAAGACCCCTATGGCCCCTTCCAAATTTTTGAGTGGCTTGCAAGAAAGGGTTATATGGCCGTAAGGGTAGGGAGGATGCCAGAGGAATGAGCAGCCTGTACAAATACGGTTCATACATATATGTATCAGACTAGTTTGCTTGAGTAGATCGGTTCTCTATCACAGAACTCTCTATCAGCCATTAAAAAAGGTTCTGGATACGTTTAGCGCAACTGCGGCGAGCTTTTCTTGAGGCTGCCTGATTCGTTTCGCTTTGTTGAAAGTCACTTCTACCACGATCTAATGAGTTCTAATGAACTGTGCTGATGTGTTTTCTAGTTGTTATCAAATAGTTACTTGAGTGGTAGAAGGTTGCCGAAAAGGCTGTAGCCAGAGTCAGTTGTCTGGTAGAAGCCGAATTCCGTGCATGTCTGCCATAACCAGAGCGTTCCAGCTGCTTCCTCTTAAAGAAATTGTCAGTATTCGTGTTGGTAGTACCATAACTCGTATAAAAAACTATAATCTATGCTAAAGCATTCCTTCGGTCAAGAGATTTCTCCGCTTACTCTCCGTATCTAATTTTTCAGCTTTGTCTTAGGATAGTACAGTACGAATTCTAACTGGTCCCTATGTAGATACAGTGGGAAATTGAAGGCAATTGAAGGCATGGTGTGCTTTTTTGTGAAAGTTCTCTTGTTACTCAAGATGACATAGGGAAGGCGAATATGAAATTCATTGGGAATCTTGGAAACTATGACGATTTTTCTCTCAGAAAGCATTTTTTAGTTATGTTTTTTATTTTACTTTTTTTAAAATTGTAGCTCTCATTTTTAACATGCGTTTGTACGCCTTTAAACATCTTCGTTGAGTATATGGCGCAAACTTTGGGCACACAAATTTGTCGCCTCTTTTTTTCGGATTTGGCCTTTATTACAATAACAAACCTAAAAACTTCCCGCTCGCAGGGAATGTTCATTTTCCGTAATGCTGTGATTGATCTCTGTGATCCAATCTGTGATTTGAGATATATCCAAAGACAGCCGAACATCGCTGTTCACCTATTCTTCAGATGCTGTGCAGACGTTCTATTGTACTACCACCTCCCCAAAGAAACCAATCCTCCAGATTGATCAGACTTAGTGAGCTCTGTTTTAGTAGTGGCCAACGGCTTCAAGGTTTTCCCAATGAAATTTTGCTCTTTATCCACTAATGTCTGATTAGGATGAAAACCTGGTGGTTTAAACAACTGCGATGTAGACGATTCGATTCCCCCAATGAATCCATATTTTTTGTCCGGATACGATACTTCTTACTGTAAAAAGCATGTCTATAATGGAAAGGAGGAAATGAGGCTGTACTGCACTTGAGGAAGCACGTCACGTCCAGAACTCCCTCTTTGGCGATCACCTACATCTCGGAATCTACCTATCTTACATCAAAAACTACTAGTGTTGGAAGCATAGGACTTACTAGGATTAGTTGAGAATTGAGCCTTGTATAGCAGTCTCTTAAGGTCGTCATAGCTGTTGAACATACTTTCGAATTCAGTATCACCCTGAAAAAACATATGACAATACTTAGGTACTCCCTTCGAAATTCAGTGTTAAACACGGTCGCTTTTGGGTATGAACTTCGGAGGGGTCGGGCTTTGGTTCCCATCTGGGATGGTTATAACCGAATAAAAAGGGTCCAAGGTTTTTGAATCTTCATGAGTGTAGATAGCACATAATATCACACATTGTTACATTTGAGAAAACTAACCGTAAACATATTTGTCATGTATTCATTGAAAGCGGCAATGCTATTGATAGGTTTGCGTCCTTGCTTGGTCATTATTTTGCACATGTCCGGAATGCCATAGCCGTGTGCATATTGCTAAAAAATCTTGAGCGGATACACAGTAATTACACTATTATCGAAATTACGATAGGCCTATCACACCGGGCTACACAGTAATTGAATTTCGAAAAGCAGTGAGATACTCTTTGGCTGTACAACCAATCGTATGCTTCTTTCAGTACGATCCAGAGCTAGAGTATGGGTAGCAACGTGCCATCCCCAACGGAAGGTCGAATTATTGTAGCTGATTGAAAGGTGTCCTTAAGTCGTGAGAGACACATCATCTTTTACACATCGAGGATGAACCGTACTGCCACCCCTAGTCGGAGCTGCGGAGACCGCGATGACAAACTTTTCAATCCCGGATGACATATGACTACCGTGCTCGAAAGCTAGTTGCGCTTGAGCAGCTCGATTACCCTCCGAGAGGAGTTGCTGTAGCGATGAATTCGACACCCCTTCCCGGCTTGTGACCCCGCTCCACGATAGTGCAAGGGACTAACAATAAGAACACGGCGTCTAGATAGCATAAGTACAGGTTCGAGTTCTTTCTGAGGCCGAAGTTTTGTCCATAATTAGCAAATTTTGTGAGTATCTCTTGAGCCTCAGAAATTCATAATCTCTGTAAGTGCCGAGAAAATACCAGCTGCTAAACTCCGCTGAGTTCAAGCGCACAGTATATTTTCTGGACGAATACATTATAGGATTCTACCTATGATAACTTACCCCTCGGTTATCTCCACTGTATTGGACAGCACTTGCAAACATGTCAATAAGGTTCGAAATGAAGAATTGCTTATCAATTTCGAAGACATCAGAGACATCATCCCATGGAGGATTTAGCCTGGAATTATTCTTAGAACGATTGATGATTTAGAACTATGAAGTTTCTTGCGTCGTTGAGATTGGGAAGCAAGGGCGACAATATCTAATGAAATCTATTTAACATGACAGCGTGAAGTGCGATGGTAGATGATCATTTAGAAACTTTTTAGACAATTTTGTTTGTTAGTTGAACTTTTAAAGGGATGTCTATTATCGAATAGAGATGAACACCTTACTTGAAAATGTCTGTCAGTTGTGCGCGTCCTTTTTCCTTAAGCAATCGCTGGCCTATGTCATCGAAGCCCTGAACATAGACAATTTCTCTTTTGCTGGTAGTTAAATTGCTCGACTGAAGCCTCGAACTACCAAGGGTGCTCACTGAATCTTACTGTACCTCTGCAATAGCATAAGCACAATCCTCACTGTAGCTTCGGATTGATTTCTCTACCACTTGATAGTAGTCTGAAAGATCTTGATAAATTCTCTGTAACTGAAATACAAGTAAACTTTCCTACCATAGAAGTCCAACTTAGCTTCTAGAGGTGCTGAAGAACCGACTGCTCCATGAACAAGGTCGGGGAACAGTTTACGCATCCACAGGGCTAGTGATCCTATAAAATTCTTCATAAACATTCAGTGCTGAATGAGTTAGTCTCACAAGGGTGGCGATTTGTGGGCAAAACTCCGGCCTCGAACCTGTGCTTGTGCTTGTCGGGCACCCTGCTCTTTATCCCTTTCAAGATTAAGGAATAGAGCAGGGTGCACAGAAAGCACAAGCACGGGTTCGAGTCCCGTCCGAGTTCGAAGTTTGCCCGCAAATCGCCATCCTGGAACTTCCGGGTTGCATACTGTGGCGGCATAACAGCAGCTGAAAACTTCGAGGCTTTTGCGAATACTGCTTGGTATCTGCCTAACATTTTCATTCTGATACACGCATATGGGATGCTCCCGGGCTTGAATGAGCAGTTCACGGGTGCTAGGGATGGTTGTGTTTCTTGAAGGTTCTTATTCATAAGAGTAGAAATGCTGTCTGTTATCAAGACAATAAAAAATCAGCAAAGACATTTGAAGATGTAAAGTGAGGGTTATATACATTTGTATGTAAAGCTCAATTTCCGGAACCAAACAGTTGCTGTGATCCTGGACTCTTATCCTGCCTGTTCTTCTATTTTATCATGAGCCTTACCAGCATACGATCCACCGAACATGATCCATTTGCCGTGTTGTCCCCTTTCCGCATCGACTGCCCGAATGAAATTGGCCACATCGTACAGCATTTGTAGCGATGAGAGGTAGGTAGTGTACGTATTCTTCTTCGAAACGGCCGGGTCAAGAGAACTACAAGTATATTCTTTGGGAGAACAAGAAAAAGTAGAAATAGACCACAGATCAGATGCCTACTCGAACAGATCGCTCTTTCCGTAGTATCTGTGCTCGAGAACGTAGACAGTTGCTCCGAATTCATCCGCCCATTTCAGATAGGTCAGGTCCTCATTAAGTACCCATGAAGGATCTCTTGGTGATTCACCGCCGATCATTAGGAATATCGGACCGTTCGGCTTCGCCCATTGTTCATTTTTGAAGTATCTCTGCAACATTCTGATGTTTAGGTTTCGTTTCTAATTTTCTAGCGCGAACTTTTGGTACCCCAATTTCAGGTTTTGGATTTGTCCGCTATAAAAATGCCAATTAAGCAAAATGAACAGCCCACATGCAAACCAACTTTCATAACATTGATGTAGAAAGTTGAGTTAATTGGGCAGTTGTCCTTTACCACCCGTACCCTTTACGCTCAATCAAGCAGGCTTTCTATTGTACTGAAGTGAAGGGCCTGCTCCAGATCTGTGGAAACAGAGACCCGGCTCGAACACGGGGCTTATAACAGCGCTTTCGTCAGGTCTCTGAATTCGCAACTTTTCATATGTCTAGTTTTCCTAGTTTGTAACTTACATATTAATTTTACATGCGTAAAATTGCTTATTCACTATTTTCAAAGTATTTATGTAAATTGGACCACTATATGAATTACCTGTTCGAAAGTATACGGATTTTTATTGTTGAAATGGTCTACGGGCTGCGTGAAGTAGCCGGCTTCGTATTCCACTGGCATATCTGGCAGCTAAAAATCATGGATTCAAAGTAGACCTATACATTTTGAATCTTGACAGTCAATCAGATTGTAACCTCACAACATAGTGTACCTCCCGATCAGTCCTGTCGAAAATTATTAAAAGTATTATTATAAGTAATGAATCGCAGCACCAACCGGGTCTGGATCAGGGAAAAGTCCATGTGGCGGTCTACCCAAGTGCACTCGTCGAAGTATGCGCGATTCTTCAGGTGTCAGTTCATCGGCAGAGTTCTGGAATGATAGAGTATGTTGAAGTAGAGACAACCTGCAAGTTCTGTTGAGCTCAGTCTGACATTACCCTATTCCTATTTTTTTAGCCCCATGTCATCAGAGCTTTACGGAGGAATTTGCACTCACTCGTTGTCGTTGCTGTTTTGTGGGTTTGAAGGGGTTTTTCAATCCTTCAAGAGGATGGAACAACTCCTGTAGCTCGGGTTCCTCCATCAGCTGTGGTTCTTCTGATACTTCCAGGGGCTGTTCTTGCTGATTGACTGTAAAAAGGCTCTCCATATAACCATCGTAATCAAGCGAAACTAAGATCACCATTGAATATGTTTACCGTTGTGGAATGGGCTTGGAACACCCGAAATCCAATTGTCGATGTTCTGAGGAATGAGTTGGAAAAGTTCCTGCATGCCGATTGCAGCTTGTGAAAGTTTCCTGAACTCGTAAGGGAACATATCGCCGCAGTGGAAGCTATCTGAAGATAACTTGATTTTACTCTTTAGGGTACTGGTATTTGATAGTGGGTGTGCTATAACATAGCTCCTCTTTTATTTGTTAAATTTGTTGTACCTTATCATGTAAACAATCGAGAAGAAGCATTACCTATAATAACTAAGGAGAGAATGTAAAAAGAGATGGTTCAGCTTGAATTTTGTTGACTTTCGAAGCACCTCCATACCAAAGTGCTATCTATTTTGACGAGAACCATGTGAAATGATGTCTTAATTGTGACCTCGATGGTAAGCCTCATGAGCCATCGGTATTGTCAAAGCAGGCCCTATTTAGTAGGGTTGAGTAGAGCACTCATTGCGCCCTCCCAGTGAAAACTTCCGTTCAAATATGAAGTTCTGAAGATTGTAACCTGAGTCAGGTTGTACATTTTGTGAGTAAAAAATAATGGAATTGGGATAAGTTTCAAACACAATGTTACGTAGGAGAACGTTCGGGAGGTTATGTCGAGAATTTGTTATTTTTAGTTCCAATTAATACAAAATTTCTCACCTACTACTGAGGAATTGTCAAGCGAGATAATTCATCCGTTAAGGAGTATTAGTATGTAACATATTCTTGTCCACCAACAAACAATTGGTGACGTCGTCACACTTTTGCGGTGATGTACTGTTACTGAGTGAGTCATTCTGTCGTGGGCGCCAGTCAGTGCTCCAACTGGTAACTTCTCTAGCAGAAGGCGAAATATTCTAATTTCTATGCAGTTACCGTATTTAAGTGAGAGACAGTGGATTGAGAATTGCTATATTTCATTAAAACAAAGGAAGATAGTGTCAGAAAAGAAGCTTACCCTTGACTACGTACGTAACAACGGTAGGATCAGTTGATGTGATTTTGCTCAATACATGCAACGGGTCGGCTCCGCCGTTGGCAATCACAACGTTTGTACCCTAAAATATTCATTTTCAGTCGAATGACTTTCTTTTAGTTTGTCAGAACTAGTCTAGGCTACCTTCCAAGTTGTAGAGCTGCTTTCGCCACTTTTTTCTTTTTTTTTTTTGTTCTAATTTGAAGGAACAGTTTACGATAAAAATGGCTTCTGAGATACTCTCACACCATGAATCTGGTATCCTCGGACGAGCTTCACCGGCATTGTAAAGGCTGCACCGATCGCAAGGGAACCCATGTAGGAAGTTCAAACAACTTGTCATGAAAGACAGTTCTGCACAGTTCTGGCTTGATGTAGTCAGCTCTTTGGGCAATTGCAACAACTGAATTCTCGTCCGAATACACCTTCCTTGTTATTTCCGTCATGGTAATCTCGTCCAACCTCTATTTTCCCTACTCTTGAGGAACCATATTTTTCTCGAAAACAGCGAATTCTCTCGCGTTCTTCACTATCGATGACCTATTCCCAATCGAACTTCCGCTTTTCCAGTAAGAGAGGGTACCTCGAAATTATCGTGAACTGCGCCTTCAAATCTTTCTTTCCCCCTCTACTATGCTCAGAGACATTTTCAGTAGAAAATGGAACATAAGTATATATTTATGGGTGTATTTAGGGATATATGCCGAATCGCTATTTGTTGGGTTGTTCGAATAGTTAGCGATGACTCGAGTTCTGTTTGCCGATGTGAAAACGCCGTACCATTGAGAGAACTTTCCACATATAGCTTATCTTCTACAGCATGGTCAAGAGTGAAAGTCACGTCTATGAGAACGTTCAGTGCGTGAGTGTTTTGCGAAATCTAGAAAGGGTGAAATCATCCTTTCTAGATTTTGCAAATCTCTGGACCGTTTTTCGATCTGGCAGCGCCATATGTGGCACTCTTGGGAGCCACAGATTCTTCGCAGAGAACTATAGGAAACTATTTTGATCGTGGACTATGCTCTTGGATTGTTTTGTCTGGACTGCTTAATTACGATGTTACTGACAGAGCACGGCAAGTGTGTAGTGACTGCATTATAAACAGTATGAACGCTCTCTATACCTTCTCTTATCCTTCCCCTTTTGTACCGTACCCCTTCCATGTTTACTGGATAGAAGTGCTCTTACTGTCACACTATGGAGCATAGAATTTAACCTATTTCTTTATAATCCTATTACGGTGGTAATGAAAAGAGGTCAAACTTTCACTGTTTAAACAAAACGCTCACCTTGTATCCATGTGCTCCGCCATATTTGAGTGTTGTTGCCGCGACAGCTCGCTCAATGTGTTGGGCATCGAACTCTTCACCAAACACTTGACAAAGGTCGGCGTAGAAGCTGTAAAATAGTCAAATTTTGAAACCACTTTTTTAACCTTAGCCTTTGCTAGTAATCCAAGCTATTGAATGATGTAGTTTTTATACAAATTACTCTTTTCCCAAAATTTACAGTTTATCTAGACTGATGTTCGGAACGAGCCTCAGTGTCCAATGCATCTGAGAGATTTTTGTGACTCCATTGTTTTTGTAGTACCCTTTTTGATCGGGAAGTGCCCACTCGTTCGGAACGTTTGAGAAGGATTTTTCAACATTTGACGGACCACAGAATTAAAGGTTCTTTCCTTAAAGGTCTGTAGTCCGCAGATGTTGGGGGGTATCGCTTGCGTTCGACAAAGCCACACCCCTATTTTCTTAACGAATCTCCCAGGCTGCTTTCAAAAAATTTTGCATTAGTTCGATTGAAATAATTTACGCCTGTGAAATTCGGGCACTGCTGCAGTGAGTGTCATTCAATATGCAAAGGAGAGTGCCCGGAACTCCCTAATACTCTTAAGTCTAGAGGGCAAGCCAGAGTTCCAAACTCTTAAAGCGATCAAGAACCAGTTTTCTTCTGCAGACGCAGATATTTGAGTTTTCATGAGCGGATTCGCGATTTTATGGTGACTGTGGTACAAGGGTGGGTGCCGATTGGATTCCTTAGAGGGATTCATAAACTTGAAGACGGCTACCAAACCGATGTCAAGACTTCTTCAGGAGACCTCTGAAGTAGGTAATGGTTTGTTTCGTAATCTTTGGGTAGGATGGTTCATTGTACCTCATCGGATCGTGACAAGGATGAGTTGAGTGCAGATCGAATAAATCGGTGACCATCGACACGACAAGCGAATACATTTACATTCAGTTTTTTTTTTTGAGCTTCTGGTGGTTTTCTGGATAAGGCTTCTGACTGGCGGGAAAGGCTTCACTAAAGTTTGTATTTGTATCTACCAGAGCTGATCTCGCACATCTAACACAGAACGGCTTTTACATGAAGTTTAAATGGTGCTCAGAGGAGTGGTTTTTGTTGCCGACATCTGTGTTTTGGCCATTTTGCTTTTTGTGATCGCTGTGTTAGTTGGCGACAATTTGTCTTGGTCCATAGCTATCGGATGACATGGGCCACTGGGGTAGGAATCCTCCGAAAAGTAGTTTTGAACTTACTCTATGGAAACAAGTGTGCCGAAGATGCTGTTTATGGCTCCATCAGTTGTAGGGAAAGTGCCAAGTTCTGTACACCTCTGCCACAATGATGCACGATCGACGGCTAAAATCAAGGAGTTGCTTTGAATTCTTATTGTTAAAATAGGGAATTTTTGTTAGGTTGAGTTGAGACACCACGTACTGCTGCTCTACGATACTGCCCCTTTCTCAGAAGAAAAAAATCGAGGAGTTGGCTTTCTGGTGACTGCGCCATTTATAATACATCTCATCCGAATGAAGGACGATTCAATTGTGATTAATCATTGGAAACTTACAGGCCCAGCCCTCCTCATCGAAATCCTTCTGGAGAAGATATTTGAGCAAAGCATCATAGTCAGCTGGCGTGTTTTCTGGCATGTCGTGCAAATATTTGCTCTGTAGAACTGAAAAAGGTGGGAACAATGAAAGAAATTCCTCGGGATCCTAAAGTTTTCCTCGAGGGCTCATCAGTGTGCAAACATCTTTGAGCACTAACCTCTAGCTCCATTGATATGTTGAAGGGCGGTTATCTGATCCAAAGATTGATCATTCATAACAGTACAAACAGCCTCTGTGTTATTCAAGGCGATACCATTTTGCTGAACATCGGCTTTGAGCAGCATTTTCTGTTTGACTGTTGTTCAACTCGATATTTTAGATGTGAAAACCTACCATATATGGACCCGCACGGAATTGCACGGCTGATATGAAGTTGTTCAGTTGAATGGACGTGAGCAGCTGTATATTTCTATGCTCCGCAAGCCAGAAACGAGGTTTTGTTCTAAACCAAGCAAATTGAGAGACGCGAAATTGATTGGTAAAAATGCGCCACGTACTCTACTCCCATGCAATACGTAGAACTTATGCATTTTCATACTTGCAAGGTTTTGCTTTGGTACATTAGTGACTGCTGTGATAAGGTTTACAGCAGACCTGATTGGTCGAGATTTAACGGCTTACAGGTGCTTCAGTTGGAGCAATTAGGAGTTTTGTTGGGGCTGCCTATGTAGCTCGGTCCCTGGCCGTACCTAGTCTACATAGCTGCTCCTCCGGAGTAAGGATTAAGGACCGTATTGAAAATAACCAATTCACTCATTTTTTTTTGTAAAAATTCGGACTTAATTTCAATTGTCTTCAAGGCCTGTCAAACGTCGGCGTTCACCCAGAAACCAACACTAACACACTGAGTATGGCTCGATGATAATGCAGGCGTATCAGTAAAACTTTGCCGTAGACTCGAACGTGATCGAAGTTATCTTTACCTTTCTTCTAGGAGCTCTTCTAGAATGATCATTTGGTCCCCAACCCATTTGAGCTTCCTTCTGGCTGTTCTCCGCATTCAAATCACCTAGACATTGAGCCTGGTCCCCTCCGAGAATTTGTCAGTTTAATCCAGTGTGAGTACCCTTAAACCTGTCATATATGTATAATGAGTGATGGAATGCTTGGAGCTATTGTAGTGATTCTTACTGGCTTCGTACATATCAAATCCATGGTGGGCGGTGTAAGCTCGGACCCATGCAGGTACTATAACAAAAGTTTAAAGTGAAGGGTTTAGTCCAAAGTAAGTTGAGATACACAGTCATCGAGCAGGAAGACTCATCTTATGGCTACTACAGATAATAAGATAATAGTCGCTTTTATCTCAGCTATAAGTCCCTTATCCATTATCCAATGTCGTTCACGAGCCAATTCGTCAACCTTGTGTGAAAGTGAGTGAAATGCAGTACAGCTGAAGTTCGGTAATCTTCCCCGACGCTTTGCTACTGACGAAACTTCTTCTTCAATTTAGGCCTCTAACATTGTGCCCCAAGTGGGCCCTTTCAATTGTTTTCTCATGGCAATCCCACCGTAATCTTTGGGTCTATGTTGACTTTTTTCGACAGTAACGGAGCTCGACTAGTGTAAGATTCAGTTCATACAGGATAGGAAACCCAAAGGCAAAAAGTTGGGTTCGAACTGGAACTTTTTCAAAAGTCGGTGACTATTGTGACCATCTTTTTCATAATAGTAGGTAACAAAAAGTTAACAGATGAATTCTACTCTTTCAAGGTCGGTCCGTGTACTGTCTTTATAGTTCGCAATCCTTGGATCTTATCCCTATCTTCTTAATATATGAATAAACCTCAGAAAAACTGTATGATTTTACTGTATGCTACCACAAAGACCACTCTCGTCTGCCAATCTTCTCTAGTCCGATATATTTTCTATCAGTATTCAGAAGAATTGCGACTCTAAACCAGAAAAAATCATCTAATTCGAATTTCGCCTTTAAATACTTCAGAGGCTTTAGCGCCACTAAGTCGCCCCTTCCTTGAGCAGAATGGAGTCTATTTGGCCTTTTTTCCCTTCATTACGTAGCTGATCACTTGATATTCTGATAAGGACATGCACAAGATTTATTCAATGGCATTCGTAACTTGCAATTTGATCGCAGTTCACTTTTTTCCTGCAAAACTGATTCGTTAATCTTTTTTGCAAAAATGTTAAGCTGCCTTCGACGTTTTCTTCTTTTCGGTACAGTATCCACTATAGAATTTTTCAAAGCTCTGTTTTTTATACGTTTCTATCGTCTCATGACTCTGATTGGAAGAGGCTTTTGTGGAATGCTCAATGTCGACAGGACAGAGAGAAAATGCAAGAACTACATAGTCCGAGAGAGTGACGTCTACGGTGGTATATTGGGCTTTGGCCTTTGGATTTGATGTAGACAAACTCGCTCAGTCAGTTGCCGCATACTTGTCATTCTAGCTTTGAAGTTTGCCAGCCTGGACTTCAAATAAGCCGATTTGGGTGCAACCAGATCAAACCCACTTGGTCGTCCTCTGTGGACTCTGGGTATTGAGATCACTTGGATCATGGGGAGCTCGAACTTTACTAAAAGATTGCATGCATTGTTGGAGTTGAATAAAAGAAGCCAATAATTTTATTGACTGAAGTCAATAATTTTATAAACTATAAACAAAATGACTGCAAAAGAGAGTGTTTTTTGAATGATGGGTCTTTCTAGCATGCTTCAAGTTTGCCTCATTAAATTTTGAAAATACTTTCTTTTTTTTTGTTATACCGAGCGCTCAAAAGAGTTGATTTCGAGGTTTTTTTTGATCGAAAGATCAAATGAGAAAGCCTCACTAGATACTTTTGTGTTACTTGAGTTGCGGGCGGAATTGGTGTAGTAGCAAGTGGCGCACTATTTCACACACGTGGTCAAGGGTTCGATCTCCGGATCGACATCCGCCTAGACCAACCAAGCCTTCAATTTCATCGGGGTCTATAATAGACTCGTCCGGGGAGATAAAAGCAGACTTGTACATCTGGCCACCGCAAGTCATTGTGTAGACCACACGCATTCTGTACGCCACTACGATTCTGAATGGAAATCGAGTGCGGGGCGCATCCCTCAAACGGGATTGGATAACACCCGAAGATCCACTTCTTTAGCCTTTCTCACTTGAGTTACTGACTCACTTCAATAATTCGTAGACCTGAGTTCGTCCTCGTTCACTTCCAAGCATATCGGCCAACTGTTGGAACGCAATCTCAATGTTTTCGGCGCATGTCGCGTCGGTTTTGCGGTAGATATCTTCAGCAAATTGTGTTCCCTCTGGAGTAGAGAAAAGTGAATTTTGAGAGATTACTACCCTTTCTTTGTAAGTTGATCAATAAAATCGAGAAGCTACTTTTGTTTGCTAAGTTTCAGAGAGTGAGAGTTGTGAAAAACATACCCCAGAAGTCGAACCTTGGACGCATCAGCGGTGAGCTGGCAACTGCTCCAGCGATTAAATCTGGGTATTTTTGTCGAGCCCATAGGGCTAGAGAGGCTAAATTAATGTTGATTAAGAAAGATCCGAGAGCGAAGTGATCAGCATTGATTGGTTCCTGATTTGCTGACCGACACGAAATTCGATTCACGGGCCACATCAATAGTAGGGTTGTNGCAAAGCTGTGACCTCAGCTTTACCTTAAACCTACAAAAAGAATTAAATTGTGTATAAGGCAAGAGGGCCGTGGTAGGAATTCTGTGGTTATTTCCCCGTTCGTTCTCGCTCTTTACCTTCAGACACATTTTCCCTCTTCTGTGTTCCCTTTCCTTTATCATAGTTAATGACAGTACTAACCAGCATACGACCCTCCGAACACTATCCATTTCGCGTCTTCGTCTCTGATTCTGTGCTTGGCGTTCATCTCTTTAATGAAGTTGGCGACATCACCGATAGCCTGATCGATGGTTAAGTAGCCAAGATTCTTTACAGAGAGATTGCTGAAAAAAATTTTGTAAAGCAACGCTAGTGAATTTATTATATGGATAGGCATTCACATAATGGAGGGCTTCTTTCTTTTAGCTGTCATGATTGAACCATATCTTCTACCCTGTTCAAGATTCTCTAAAGATCAGATGGCTCCCTCACGTGACTGTTTCCAGCTTTTAAAATGTTACAAACTTGTTCACTGAGTCAGGGACTGATCCAGTGCCAACAACAGTCCCATTCCCATTTTGGTCCTATGTTTACCTCTACTGTTTATAGGTGGAACTGGACTTGGCAGAGGTTGTCGAAATAATAGTCAACTAACGGGGTTGGACGACTTTTTCCGTAGAAACGATGCTCAAGAGCGTACAACACAGCTCCTCTCTCTTTTGCCCACTGTACAAATGGAAGTTTCTCATTAGTTACCTGAAATATTGTCAATTAAGTTTTATCGCGTCCTCTGCGTGTAGTGTAAGAAATAAAAATTGACTTTGGAAGACCCGTGGGTGACACCCTCCTTAATTTTCTACAACCTCTAAAGGAAGAACGCAGCCGAAACGAAGCAAAAGGTAGGCAACGCTTTGACATGAGATAAGTCGAAGCGTTGACTACCTGTTGCTCCTCACTTTTGCGCTTAACATTCCATTTCACATGCATTCAAAGGGCTCGACGCATACAAAGTTTGTACTTTCGTCTTCGAGGCCAGAATAGATCTGCTCAGAACAAAAAGAAACCTGAGGCTTGATCCAAACGCCTCACACTTCGAAAGACTGCTAGCCAATATGAGCTACACACAAGAATGCGAAAGAATTTGAGGAATACTTCAGATTAAGTTAGAGGCGGCGTCGGACAGGACTGGCCTGAGGAAATGCAGAAAGGGTCTTCAAGAACGTATTACTCCCCTGCCGATAGAAGGAGGAGACGAGAGAAACTTCTTGAATCCCGGTCCGAGGTGGCAGGCGGCGGCGTTTCAGACGAAGAGATTCCACATCATTTTCCAATGATATATGTGCTATACCATAAAGAACAAATACAGAAGTCACACAGTGCATACTCCCTTCAGGAGTACAAAACTGCGAGCAAGAAGGCGCCTATAACTTCAGGTCTACTCAAGATCTCAATTGACTTGTTCCGTGCAGGTGGTCACAAACTTCATGCTATCATTGTTGCTATGACAACCTACCTTCAAAAGGGGATGATTCCAACCAATGAAAGAGAACACGCACAGTGATCCTCTACAAGAAACGAGGTCATGAGCAGCTCCGCAAGTCATCCAAATTTTATCAAATCATCCTATCCATTTCGCCTTATTTGCGATCACTAGACGAAGTGTAAGATTAGGGTAGCTACAGAACAAGCGGGACTGTTAGGGATTCAGCTGCTTATTCCACGTCTAGCCAGTCGCAATGATTATATGTAGAAGTGTGTCAAGAACTTCAAATGGTTCCTTTCCTTACTTCTGTGACTACGAGAATCCTTTTGACAATGTAGAGAGGAGTTACTTCTCGCCAGCTTAAGTTGACAAAAGGGTGAAACCGTCTTGTATATGAACATGGCCGACTACAATTTCCGCTCCACCACGGCAACAATGGAAGTCGTTCAATAGCTTCTAGCCATCTCTTCAGGGAATGGCGTCGGACAAGTTGACACTATCTGGCTAAAGTTGTTTATATCTGTGCTGCACTGGATAATGGAGTCACCAGATTGGTATAAGCAGCTTTCGATTTCTGACGGTCTATGTGGTTGTGCCAGAACTTCGCGGATAGTCACTTGATTCTACAGTTTTGCCTGCACTCTGTAACGCAACTCAGACATGGGTCATCTATGTATACAAGTCAAGGACCTTTAGCTTTAGCCGATTCACTCAGTATTGATCCCGACTCCGCGGCTCAGATTTGCGTAGAACATCCAGTCTCCAGTAATCCCGTGGAGTGCACGACAAACGCCGAGCTAAGATTTGCCGGTCGTATCATGGGGAGAGTTGATGACAGGTGAGGAAGAAGAACCGTAGAATAGGCTCCCATGAATTTTTGTGGTCCATCGGTAGACTGCACTCGTCAAGCACATAAAGTAGCTGCGAATCCAGATAATGCCCCCCAAAATTGTCGCCTCTGCCGAAATTTACAGCAACCATGGATCGAAAAAAAAACGAATGATTGTTAGTGGTGCACGGAAATAAAATTAAGACTAGCTGTATTAGGAATTTGGTACTTCTTGGAGGAAGACAATGCTTCTCGGAATACAGTTGGTCTAGTGGCCCTAGGTGGGACTCGATGTGTGCGAGTTCATTGCAGTTCTTTCCTACTACAGGCTAGTTTCCTTTCGCCTCAATCTGCAAAATACTCACCCAATTGATATCCATAACACCCATTCCTCCCAGCATCAAGAAAAAGACTTTTCCGCCTTTGCGATAGTATCGTTGACTGTAGAAGTAGCGCTGGAATCTCAGATTCAAAAAGCCTTGAACCTTCCAAGAACGTCGATGATTGAAAATGCTACTCAAATGACTACTCATCTTATTGTTGGTACGACTCATCTTACCTGAGGCCAGGTATTTCCATCATCATTAATATGATTGAGCTTTTGTTTGAAGTATGCCTCTCTGCTACCAAATCCATTCTGAGCCGTAAGCTTTAAAAAACATTTTATAAGATTTGTTTTTACACAGTTAATTGATAGCTATCAACGGCAAATTGGTTGTTAGGTTGTACATTGAAGATGCCTCATTACAAGTGAACGGGCAATACTCTCGCCCCAACTTGCATAAATCGCAAGCTAGCTCCTGCACCTATTGGATTGGAAATCATTACAACGCACATCTCATTCTTCGAATTTGAGATACGAACGTGAATAAGCATTCATGAAAAACAGTTACTGAATTTAAGTGCACCCCATACATACACTGCGCTAGCGACCGGCAACAAATTATCCAACTTTAAAGTCATAATTACTAGTTATGAAAGATGTTTTGTAAACTGACCGTGTGATTGTTTTCATCCATGTGGAAAATGGGGTGCCCCAGATGAAGCATCGGCATCACCCGCGAACTCACTAGCCATATCTGCAATATTTTGGATTTAGTGCCGTTAATTGAAGACAAGATGACTTCTATTCTTCTACCTCAAAATGATTTTTTTCTAAAATAGCTCGCTTGAGGAATTATTGGCTCCTTTTTTCGAATATCTCTGCTCTATGTTAAGAGATGGTTCTGGCAGGTAAAAGGAGATTTTTTGCCCAGCCAGAGAACATACGACCTTCGGATTTATGTAACTGGAAATCTACCAATAACAAGAACATCTCTTCAAGCCATTAAGAACACATGAAATGAAGCACAGTTGATTTAGGAAGAAAGTAAGTTAGTATAATAGATGCAAGGGCAGTGGGTGGTCTGGGTCTTAGCCGCGCAATTGCCATAACTTTTGTGCAGCGGTAGTTGTTAACAGAAGCAGTCTAGCCGTAGACTTACACCTGAGTTTATACTGCAAGCGTCGCGCGTAAACTAGATTTCTGATTCAAAATATTTTGCTAGTATAGTTACAAACGAAAGTTACCTGCAGTAAGTTCACGACCAAGAATAAAAGGCTAGTCATTGCCTATGAAGGACCCGATATGCAGCGAGTCCCGTTCTGGTACTGCAGAGAAGTGCTAATGATACAAATCCGTAATGAGGGACTTTCTGTCATTCCCTTTTTATTGTCACTGATAACGGCTGGTAGACATATGGGCAATATGATCCTATCAGTAGGCCCTAGGACATCTTAGATACAAGGAAAAACGGTGCACTTTCGCTTTTATGATTACACTGGTATTCGTATGTTCTTTGAAGCTATACAAACCGGTTATTAAACAGGAGCAATGGCGGTACTACTGGTTGACGTTGCAGTTGTTGACCAAAAGTTGGTTTCCGTGAGGGTGGGAGTATGGATCTGTTTAAACGTCCCCTCAACGCAATTTTTTCATCTATTTCACAAACTGTCTTTTGGTCTTATTATTAGGAGTCTATTCGCATCGTTCTTTAGTAGTGGTTGCGGCCAGCGGTGAAGATGTAGAGGTGGTTTGATGAGAAACACTTCTGAAACTAAGTTTTCTACCTCGATTCCTGTCCTTTTCGAGTTACTATTTGGTTGTAACATAAGTTCGTAGAGTTTGGCATTAGAATTATTTTACAACGATTTATTTTGTTCTTTAGCAAAGTGTATACATTCACTCAAGAGAGCTCTTTCTCCTCTACAAAACTGTTTTATTTGTTTTCAGGATAACTTAATTGTTCGTATTTTTTCGGGCTCAGAAGTGGAATATCCAGGTAGAAAAAATTAGCAGGTCTGGGTGGCCTCAGGAAAGGCGCCAAAGCCGAGAGTCAAGCAAGATCTTCTCCCAAAAAAGGTCATGATCTGCGTTTGGTGGGACTGGGTAGGCATGGTGCACTGGGAAACTGCTCGAGCAAAACGCGACTGTCAACAAGGAGGTCTACATTGCCCAGCTGCACAGTGTAAATGAGGCTATTCGGCTGAAAAGACTTTATAGACGAGGTCAAGTCATCTGGTTCTACGACAGTGTCAGGCTTTAAGTCGTCAAAACAGCACTCCAAGAGCTTGAATGGGAGGTTTTTCAGCATCCACCGTACTCTCCAGTTCTTCCACCTGCCGACTATCAACTTTTCCCGCTCTATGTTAAAACAAATGAGGGCTGTTACCTTTGATGGCGAAGAGGAACTTAAAAACTGGCTCAACAAATTCTTCGACACCACAACGGCTGATTTTTGGCATCGGCATCAACAAATTGGTCGAGAGATGGGAGGAGGTCGTTAACAGTAACGGAGGATACATTATTGGTTAATCTATTATTATAATTATTGTTTTTTGGTTCGAATAAATCTTTGTGAAAAAAACTCTACCAACTTATGTTACAACCCAATACATCAAAGATCTCTACATCTCTCTCTATGACCTGTGTCTTTCTTGACCACGACCCCCAGTGAACCACTCTTGCTAATGGACGAAGGGAAAGGAGGAAATTACGTTAAGAGAAAAAAATTAAATATTCTTGCACGACAACGAGATCTATGTCTGAGAAGATTCATCACCAGCACATAGGATTAAGCGCACCGCTGTGATCCGCTTCGTGAAATCAACACTCTTTCGTTTTGGAAACATAGAGGCGTATACACTAGGGGACGCCTTTATTAATTCAAGACCGCTATATTTTGGATGTCATATTGGGTCAAGCAAAAGATTACTGCCGAAAATCGCGAAGGTCCAGATTTTTCCTAAGATATCTAGAAGCTACCATAGGGTTACTATGAGAGGGCATGACCCACACGTAAACAATTCAAACGATTTACATATCCTTCTACCTCTTCCTGTTTATTTAAACATATAATCACCAAGCTGTCTTTCCACATTCAACAAGTAATTCTTTATGAGCGAAAGTCTGATTATTCTGCTGCTGAAACTCGAAACTAAAATGAAGCGCTGAAATGTGAAAGCTGTGTCAAGCATCTAGCCTTGGAGCCCCTTTCAAGCCCTGCACTCCCTATTCCAACGATATACAGCCTGAAACAAAAAGGCCGAAGAAGCTATAGAGATGGTCAACGGATCGCCATAACATGAAATTTGTAATCTATCTGAATCTGACTGTAAACTGTAATCTGAAGCTTCTGTACGGAGTTCTAAGGAAGAATGCGAAGGGGTGGAGTCGTATTTTGATTGGTTCGGAAAAAAATTTATAGATTTGCGATGGCAATACCTCGTGACTTGTTGGCTTCAGCTCTGTTTTATAAACGACATCAGATAACAAGCTTAATTGTTAGTTGCGAATGAAAGGTGAGGTAGGTTTATCAGAAAAAAAAGGGCGTAAAAAAGTATGAATTAAAACTTCCACACCTTCTTTATTTTTGCGACATTTTTTTTTGGTAAAAAGACAGAATTACGCGCACGCTTCCATGGGCTCCCCTCCATCGACCTCTCCCTCACTAGAAAGATGGACATGTAATTCTTTTGCCCATGGGTAACGAACGGATCATTGCGAAGATATGAATAATATTCAGAAGAAGTGCTATCTATGATAATAATATCCTGGACTTATAATCTGATCATAGAAGACGAAGGTGATGAATGATGGAACAAAGATCAAGTCAGTATTCTCCGCACTGAAATCATCCTCGGCTGAGGAAACGGAGACCTGACTCAAACGATGAAGAATTCTGAAACCTACCTCTCACTTTTCGAACTCTAGATCTCCATAAGTATAGTGTGCAGTTGATTTTTATTGGGTCGTTTACAAAGTCCACCGCCACTTTTTCATACCATTTTTTCTCCAAGAGACGGCTTCAATCAGTGATATAGTCTCCATTGGTACAGGTGACCGGCAGTTATCTCACAGAGCAACAACGATAATTGGCAGATGGTTTTCAGATGTTCTGGTCTGTCCATGCCGTTGACAGGGGTTGTATGATTGTTCACCAAGGGAATAGTACATGAAACTGACGACTGGGAAAGGAGAACGATATGTTCGTCCTGATCTATGATCTAGATGCTAAGTAGGCAGGCTCAGATGGCTGTTAGAAAAGTCCAATATGAAATCGTGAAGGGCGTTCTTCCCACTAAATAATAATGCGAACTTGGGCTATGAAGTTAAGAGGATAGTTTGTTGAGCATCTCACAGCTTCACCTAGGGTCCATTTGGCATAGCAGCAAAAGTGGTGTTCGGTGTTGTTGAGTAATATGGTTCAGACTTTTTCGTCACTGAAATCGATTCCTTTGGGTGAAGAGGGGACTGGTAGCTGGTACAAGCATTGGTTGGGGTAATGTTAGTTTTGTTAACAAAATGTCTGTAGCGGAAAGTACTAAGGTTAGAAACAACACATCTCCTCAATTCAAGCGAAAACTGTAATTGAATGTCCAGGTGCGCTCAGCAAGTGTTAGGAAGTTACGCTTGTTTTTGAAGATTGCACTTGTTCAAGTTTTAGTTTCATTTGCCTGGTTTGACAAGGCATGAATCCAGTTATTGAGATATTTTTCATCGTAAGACGAAGATGAAAACCCAATCTGGGAAACGCTGAGAGCAGCACTTACGAGGGTTGGCTGCTTTCATAGTCCGCCGGCCGGC